TTCGCGTTTACGTTTGAGTTAACACTCATGGACGAGGTCGAACTGGAAGCCATGTTAATCTTGGACTATATTGGCCACCGAAGGAGTTAAAACGAAATCGGAATTGAGAGGAACAGAAACTAACATTCACTGGATGGTCATTTACCTTTTCACCGCCATTTGGGGGTAAAAATCACACAGTGATATATAAAGTAATTACATTTTTTTGTTTGGTTATAGTTTCAGTTAGTGATGATAATAATCCTGCTTGACACAATCATTTTAAGCTTATTTTATGCAATTTTAAGCTTTAAAGCGCTATGAACCAAACCAATCAGCTTCGAGGAGAATCACAACATTACAAACTTTGATTTGAAGCAAAAAAGACTGAACTGAACATTAGGGATGGGCAACGATTAATCGCGATTAATCGCATCCAAAAATAAAAGTTTGTGTTTACATAATATATGTGTGTGTAGTGTGTATAATTAATTTGTATATACAGTATAAATACCCACACATGCATGTATATATTTAAGAAATATGTGCATGTATATATTTTATTTATATTTATTCACAATTAATATTATATATAAATATAAATATTTGATATACAACACATTTTTCATAAATATATATTATACATGCATGTGTGGGTATTTATATATAAAAATTAATTATACACACTACACACACAAATATTATGTAAACACAAACTTTTATTTTTGGATGCGATTAATCGCGATTAATCGTTGCCCATCCCTACTGAACATCTTTGGTGAGGGAAAGAACTACAGTCCCATGATGCATTGCGAACAGCATATTCTAATTAAAAATGATGGAATATAAAACTATGCATTTAAAAATGATTAGTTATTGCAAAATATGCACAAATATTTAAGTGTTTAGAGAGCGTAGAGACTCGATTACGCGTTTCGACTCTCATTTTACATTTTACGTGTTTCGACTCTCTGATTGGTGGAATTTTCGGCACAGCATTCTTGACCACAAATTTTTTCAGAACGAACTATTCTTTTCAAACAAATTTGAAATAATGTTGGCCGACGGCTTCAACAGAAGTAAATACCATCGATTAACATCCTCACTGGAGTTTCCACTTCTGCAACCCGACTCTTGGATCAAATTTTTGGTACTAATTGGTTTGTAGCGACACAAATGGCAAGTTTACGACGAGAAAATGATCTAAAACAGCGTCCAGCCCTCAGGAGAGTTCAGGACTGGTAAAGACAGGCGTGTAACGTGAGAAAACACACTAAATAAACACTGCGTGCATGGCGTGTTCAATCATCATATAGCCTATAGACAAATACACCCTGCTATTGCCTTTCATGGTGCTTTGAAATAATCATCAACTAAATTATACTAACCATATCATATATACTAGACATTGTACTTCAAATAGGTTTAAATATCATTACAACAAACATGTCAAAAAAATATAGCATTTCTATTGCATATAAAAAGATATTTCCATGTAAAATAAAAACCGAACAACATGTATGTGCACAAAACCATGGTATACATCAGGTAAGCATTCTCATGCAGAAACTTTTATGCAGTTATTATGGCGTTTCAATATTGTCCATATCACATCCATCTGTTCCTGCACAACACATGAGAAACCAAACAGAATGTCCAAGTCCTGAGTGGTTTTCATGGATTGATCCTGGCGTTTGCTTGCTTCTGATAAAGCGGCGAGTGAGTGACACCTTCATTGTGAACATACTTCAACTGACTGTTCTCAGGCCTAGTAAACACATTCCACACATTCAGACTAAAACACGACGGGATTCCAGTGGTCGGATCCGCCACTGGTACAGATTCGCTTCACTTCACTTTTAATGTTATTGAGAACATTATATAAACAACGAAGGAAAAAGTCACCAAAAAAAAGGTGCAGTATATAACTCATCAGAAAAGATTACATATCAAAGGAACAGATTAAAAGACTTACATATTTCAATTGTTTTTAAAGCCTACTTTTTACACGAGTTAAAAATAGTCCCAAATTATTAACTTACCAATTAACAACTCCAAACAAAACATTTTCCCAAAGTTGAGAAAAATCCTTATCAATGTTCTCAATAAACCCATCCATCTAGGCGTCTGTCGGTTTATTCATACCTTCCATGATGCCATCTGACAGCGCTTGAGATGGGAGGTGGATATTAGCTTATAATAGCGGGTTTGATCCTCTATTGTGAAAGTGGAATGTTAAATTGTAACAATGACACTTTCACATCACTATGAGTCACAGGGGTTTTTGATGGTCACCATGGCAACATCATAGATGGTTTAATAAACCGACGACTGATGCACAATGAAAGTTATGGCACAGGAATGCATGTGAAGGTGGTGCACATACTCGAGTGATTGTCTTCCTGACATCACACACAAAAGATAAACGAATACAGCGGCGGGAAACATTCCTCACATCAAACATCAGCTCTTTGCTCTTCCTCTACACATTCTGACAGGATTCTGCTGAGAACAAGCCTGGACCAAACACTGAGGAAACTAGAAGCTGATGTTTGAACACGATCTATGTTACAACAGACGAACTAACATCACCGACACACACCGCAGGAGTCAGCGCATCTAAAGCTCACATCACTACTGATGATAGATACATTACACAATAATAATGCCATCAGAATTATTTATGGATGGAATAATATAATGATAGATAGAAGAATAGATAGATGACAGAACGATGGATGGATGGGTAGATTGGATGGGTAAATTGGATGGGTAGATTGGATGGATGGCTGGCTGGATGGATGGGTAGATTGGATGGATGGATGGATGGAAAGAACGATGGATAGAGCGATAGATAGAACGATAGAGCAATAGATAGAAGGATGGATGGGTTGAATGAATGGGTAGATTGGATGGATGGGTGGAATAATATAATGATAGATAAAACAATAGATAGATGACAGACCGATGGATGGATGGATGGATGGATTGATGGAAAATTGGATGGGTAAATTGGATGGGTAAATTGGATGGGTAAATTGGATGGATGGATGGATGGATGGAAAGAACGATGCATAGAACGATAGAGCGGTAGATAGAAGGATGGATGGTTGAATGGATGGGTACATTGGATTGGTAGATTGGATGGATGGATGGATGGATAGATGGGTAGATTGGATGGATGAGTGAATGGATGGAAAGAACGATAGATAGAACGATAGATAGAAGGATGGATGGGTTGAATGGATGGGTAGATTGGATGGATGGATGGATGGATGGGTAGATTGGATGGATGGGTGAATGGATGGAAAGAACGATAGATAGAACGATAGAACGATAGATAGATAGAACGATAGATAGATAGATAGAACGATAGAACGATAGATAGATAGAACGATAGATAGATAGATAGATAGATAGATAGATAGATAGATAGATAGATAGATAGATAGATAGATAGAACGATAGAACGATAGATAGATAGAACGATAGATAGATAGATAGAACGATAGAACGATAGATAGATAGATAGATAGATAGAGCATTTCAAAATCCTCAGAAACATAAATTGCATAATTTACAGTCCAAATCACACACATTGATATATTTCTGATTTGTCACGATGAGATCATCATCAATGAGTCAAACTCTGCATTTCTCCTAAAACACCCACACGTTCTCCAGTCCACAGATCAGTGTGTGTTTCATAAGACCCGATCGATCCTTGCCAGAACCGGCCGTGAGTCAGCCGAGCAAAAACACCCCGCTAAAGCCGACAACATTTCTCAGGCTTTCTGTCGCGATCGTCCACAATAGAGCCGCTCCTGACGCTATTGTTGAGCCGGCCTGAGAACACTCAACACACATCAATACTGCCTTCCCGTCCGGCTGGTTTCAGACCGCTCTCGATCAAGAGTAGGAATCCATCATGTGGAATACCAGAGTGAGAAGTACTTTCACCTCTCGGGCGGATCACATTCCTCTCGCTGAGAAAGCGATTAATGCAGCGTCACAATCTCCAAACGAGCCGACAGTCCCATAGCCTACAGCCAGAGCTGTGTGTGTGTGTTTGTCATGAGGAAAACTACACACAAACTCTTAAAACAGCAGTCCATTATCATTATTATTATCAAGTACAAATGCATGAGCTTATAGAAAGTAGGCCTACTACGGTGCTGGTAAAATAATAAATGAAAGAATTCAATCTAGTATAAAAAGTTTTTATACTGAAAATTGCTTATTTTGACGTGTTAAAGCAATTTGTTGATACTTCACACAGACAGTTACTGAGAACTGCAGTCCTATTATTATTAAGTAGCCTACAAATGCATGAGCTTAAAACGCCTATAAAAAATGTATACACTATACCGTGGTAAAATTATGGTAATGCAATGCCATTTTGATACACTCTAAGTAACTTAAAATTTTACAATCAACAAAGTCATTGCAACTTAAACTTCATTACCAGACTTAAAAATGAGTTGCAACTTACATAACATAAAACGTTCATAAGAGTTGAAGCAATATAAAAACACATGTTGTCAAAACATTTTTTGCAGTGTAGTTGTTTATCATTGACATTGGCTATATAAACCATGGTATTTATATAATACTACAAGGTAGGCTACTTCAAAACTTTACCAAGAAATTACCATGACACATCTTGTATATAAAAATGGTATTACCACGGTACAACATTATGATGATGATGATGATCATATATGCTACTGTAGGATCTATTACATAAGCAGAGCAATTCTCAGCAGATTTTGACTAGCCTAAATGACGATTTGATTATTTCTTAAGCAAACAGACTTAAACCCGTTTCAAAAGTTATTAACATATCTGAAGCAACAACAGTTCACATTGCATCGGTGCTGATAAACCATCAGGAATGATAAGGACTTTACCTCGCACACACACACTTTGACCTCCGGGTCAAACAAAACACACATTGTTCTGTCAGAGAAGATGAATAATCGACATGTTAAAGCCTTTACATGTAGCGTGAAGTGACTTACCTCTCAGTGTGGACTGTCGTCTCTCGTGTCGCTCAGGTGTGTTTGCTCCTGCTGGAAGTGCAGGGTGACTTTCACACCTGGGCGGGTCACCTATGCGTGTGGGCGTGGCCAGAGACACACCCGTGCGCGCACGCGAACGAGAGCCACTCCCCCTTCAGCTGCGTCGAGAAATGAAGCCTATCGTCAGGTTTTACCGTGGTAAATCTGATCACACAGCAACGGATGTGATTCCTCGCCATATTTGGGAATCTTCACGGGCTCATATGATCCTGAAGAATTTAAGGAATTCTGAATGAGTTCTAGAGCCAGATCTATTTATATTCGTTCATGTCCAGTCCTTCAGGCTCCAGATACTGACCCCAAAATATTATGAATATAATGAGGAAATGTTAGAAACAAATAGAGAGAATAAATAAATGTAGTCCTATGCAAGACCAGAATTTATGAAATAGTTCGGAATGTTTGTTAATTCATGTTTATAAGCTATTTACACTAATAAATAATTATTATAATGATAATAATATAAATTATCAATAATGAAAATATATTAGTATGAGTTACTGTCATTTAAATCTAAAAGATATCTAATAAACTGTCATAAAAACAAATTCATTAAGTGACAGGAAAACAGAATTGAACATAATAATAATAATAATAATAATAATGGAATTATAAAGGAACCAGAAAGGAAAAGAACTTGAACCTGATCAGCCACTGTCCTTAAAACAATAAATGATCTAAACTCTCATAAATAAACAGCCTAGATATGTCTATGCATTTTTGTTTAAACTGATTTTTACACATAATAATAATACATTTTAACAAAAATGCACTGAATGATTTGTACTTTCATTGAAAATGTTTCTATACCTCTAAACACACACACACACACACACATTTTTGTTGTTAATGATTTTCTGTGCTCATCACAGAGCCCATACTCCCTCATGCTCCTCAAGTTACTGTTTGCTCTGTTTAGTCTAGTTCAACTGTTATGTTGAAGAAATGATAACCATCTGACAAGTAAACATGTGATGAATGATAAATATGTGGTTTAGTCCAGCAGAACGATCCTCTTTGACACATTCTGCCACTCAAACACATCCGACAAATCAGTTACAGTTACTAATTGTGTCATCCCATGACCCCTGACCCCTGACCCTGATAAACCTTCAGTGTTTCCACCACACCCACAAATCCATAGCTCCAGACATTCCCTGAGCCCATTACAACACTTCTGCGTTGCTCTCACACACACACACACACACACACACACACGCAGGTGTGTGTCTCAGACGTGCCACAGCGGGGAGGAGTGCAATCCCAGCATGCCTTGTTCTGGCCAACATGCTAATCCAGGAGGAAAATGAAGAGTGAATGAAACCTGTTGTGCTTTTCGAGTATCTGTATTGCCTCTCTTTCACTTGAAGGATGTCCTCGTTTATATTAGGAGATTATGAGCTCACAAAAACACCAAAAATCTCTGAAATTTATGGAAAAAAAATGGCAGATCTTTACCATTACTTTATCTTTAACTGAAATAATGTTAATATATACAAAAAAATAAATAAAAATTACCCGTATAAATAATATACCGACAACAGCACACGTAAAGCTTTTCTACAAGCCAAGGGAAATACTAATATACTAATATATATGAGATATAGATGAAGCCATAGGATTTACAACACACACACAAACGTATATATATATATAACAGTATAAACAGCATCATAATATTTCTGTAATTGTAATGTATTTTCCTGGTAGTTTCTACAATCGTATTGTGGCAATGATGGCATTGAAGGGTCAAATTCTGAATCCCATTTTTTTTGGGTCCAGAATCATTTTGTTGAAAACACTGTAAGGTTTCATGTTTACATAGTTAGCTACTTTAGTAAACATGATCTAACAATACACACAATAATTACTGCACTAATTATGTTACAGTAATCTAAACAAGTGCCAGTGCATTATTAAAAGTTATGTAACATAGTTGTAATGTGAACATCATCAGCATTTAATAAATGCCATTACAACTGTATTGATCATATCAGTCGATGTATTGACTCAGGGGACAGTTTTTCTGAATTGCTAAAACACATTTCTTAATTACTCACTTTCTCAAAACCAGAAACACAAAATCACACTTTCACACCACATTCACAGAACCTCTGACTTTTCTGGCAAAATCAAATAATTGCCTCAAAACCATTTTACTCAAAATCAAACAATGCTCTCAGATCATACACACACGAGTCAAAATCATAAAAACTACAGATCATTTATTAGACACTACATCAAAAAATGGAAAACACAGACTTCAAAGCATGCAGTATCAGAAAAAATAGTATATTGTAACTGAGTAAACAAATTTTGCAATTTTGTAAAAAAAAGTATAATGACAACTTACAGTAATAAGGTGAATAAATTGTGTTCTGTATCCACTGCAAGTATAGTATTGTACTGAATATTGAATAGGCCAATCAAATGTCTGTATATTCACCACTGTGAAAATACAGCGACCCGACTACAACAGCCAAAAACGTTACAGTAAAAACTCTCAATGAAAAGCATGTTACAGTTACAGTAAGTACACTCAGAAGAGTTGAGCGACTGCAGAATCACGGTCACTGAGAGATTGATTCTGCTTCAGCATCATGTCTTCATATTTGGTCCGGCCGGAAGAGTTTCTCCACATCTCAGACTATGTCATCTCTGAGGGAAAGGGAAAAACCCTAAAACAGAGTCAGCATTGACAACATTCTCCATACCTTGCTCTTCCTCGACTTCATTCCTCCTCGTTCACCACCTCTTTTCCTTCTCTCCCTCTTATAGTTTCCATCCATTGTTGGTATCAACATTCAGAGCAACATTGTGAGTAAATTGTGGGACTCTGAACTGACTTGTATTATGTAAAGTTGGTTTGGTCACATCATTAGAAATAAGTGTGAACAAACACAAGAGTCTCTGTGTGTAAATGGTGACAACTGTGTTGTAGTTGTGTTTAACTTTCGCCTACCAGTGTTTAGCATTTTGAAAGATAAGTGCATCACAGTGCGAAATGTGTTTTAGTGAGTGAGAATGTGTTTAGTTTTGACAAAAGAGAGCATGAGATTTGCAAACAGTGTTTTAACCACCTGAACTTGTTTATTGTTTTACAGAAAGAGTGATTCATTCGACAAATTGGTTTAGGCTATTGAGAATTTGTTTAGTGTTTTAGCAATTTAGAAAAACTGTAGAAGAGCTTATTAGTTCTGTTTATATTGAGTCAGAAAACAAGACACGAAAATCAAAACAACAGCTTAGTCATAAAGCATGAATTTGCTTCTTATATAAATTAATTGATCATGTAATCACAAACATGTTGATCAGTTGTGTGAGTGTGTTTGTGAGTGTGTAAGTGTAAGTGTCTGTATGTGTGTGTGTGTGTGTGTGCACCATGTTATTTCGCAGAGTTCCATGGTGGATCTGAGGTGACAGATGGTTTCACCCATGCTGATGTCATCGATGGGAATGATGATGTCATCACACAGATTCCAGCCTAGAGGTACGGTTGCACCTTACACTCGCACATCAGCGCTCAAACACGTCTGTGACGTGACATGCGTTTGGGTGTTTCATTTACATTCTTTACCAAGGTTAACTCTGAAAAAATGCTTGCAATTCAAAACATTTGTGATTAATTAGGGGTTTAGATGCATACAATTCTTTATGTGAATACACAGTCAGTAAAAACATTACTGATACATTTTGCAGTGAAAGGAACTATACGTGTTTATCTAGTTCGTGTTTAAAGAAGAAACCATTTTAATTAGGCCTAATTGATTTATTATTTTATGTGCTTAAATCAATGAAGAAAGACTATTTTCTGAATGTTCTTCTATGATTCCAGTATTATCTTAAAGTCCCCCTGTGGTCAATCATTTTATCCATTAAAACTCATCTTTGATCACCAAAATTACATAGTTAAAATTTCTTCATGTCTTAAAATATGCTGAATGTAATGTAACTGGACACCCTTGTCTCATTTCAACCCGGTCTCATCCCAAGACGTCATATAACTGACGTTTTGGGACGTCTTTTGACCATACGTCAATATTCGCCTTTTTAGGGCCCCCTTAAACGTCGGTAGATGAGGTTATGGGATCCTAACTCTACCCCAGACCTAAACCTAACCCGTCACCTAACGGACGTTAAAGGTAAAGCGTCAGTTGTATGACGGCCCGGGATCGCCATCTACCGACGTTTAAGGGGGCCCTAAAAAGGCGGGTATGGTCAAAAGACGTCCCAAGACGTCAGTTATATGACTTTTTGGGATGAGACTGTGTTACTCATTTAGTATGGAGGTTCTATGAATATGCAAATGAGCCCCGCCTCCACTCACTCAATCATGTTGATCTGATTGGTTACAAGGTCGTTTGTGACGTCAGAAACACCAGCGATTTCAAATGTGTTTTTGAGATTGTCTTCCCAGATAGCAAACTGACATTAAATCAACATAGAAACAACGTTTCTCATGACATCGAAACAACGTTGATCTGACGTCAGATCATTGTTTTGCTCATCGAATCAACGTTAAACCAACGTCAGACGCGCCATTATTCAAAACTAACGGAAAATCGACGCAGTTAGTTGCTTTCCTAACGTCCCAGATAGCAAACTGACATTGAATCAACGTAGAAATAACGTTTCTCATGACATCGAAACAACGCTGATAGTTTTGCTCATCGAATTGCCGTTGAACCAACGTCAGACGCGCCATTCCTCAAAACTAACTGAAAATCGACGCAATTGGTTTGCTTTCTTATAACGTTGAAACGATGTTGATTTCAAGTTGATTTTCTGTTAGATTTGAAGAATGGCGCATCTGACGTTGGTTCAACGTTAATTCGATGAGCAAGCAATGCCAGATCAACATTGTTTCGATGTCATGTTTCCTCGTTAATTCAATGTCAGTTTGCTATCTGGGTGCAGTTTTAAGCAGAAAATACTCAGCAATGCTGTCGACTTATGAATTTACACATGATTTGTCTTGAAGCATATTAAAAACACAAAATAGACACATAAACAACATTAAAAGCTG